TAAAACATTTATTTTCCTACAAAAATATTTATCGCTTGTTTCATGATGCTTGCCACTTAGTAAGTTATGAAGTTATAAAGCAAGAAACAAGTTTTCTTTTATTCTTCAAACTTCCCAAATCGTATTCATTATAACCTTCAATATATTTTTAATAATTAAACTTATTGTAAGAAAAAAATTGAAGATTCCTTTTTTGTAGAGCGTTCAATTTCCGCGATAAATATAGCTCTATATTTGCGTGATTCCAAATCAAATTTTCAATATTGTAAACTCATACTTGTAAAAATATTTTCTCGACGTGCTTAGCAATTAAGTAAAATTCAGTCAAAATTAAGATTTTTTTTCCACTTGGGTTCATAAATATTTAAAATTGTATGTTAAATTATTATTTTTATTATTACTTATCTTAAAATTGATAATTGTAACACGATACTAAGGACGCGGACCAAGATGAAGAACAGCACAATGCAAATGATTGTAATAAACAAGCTTATGTCAGAGCAGTGTGAAATTAATTAATTAGTATAGTGGTAGTGAATTAATTGAAGGCATTACTCAAATATACAGCAGTAACTTAAGGCGACCTGTCGTTGTCAGAAGACCTCTTGTTACAGTCTTAAGCAAGTAATAGGTCTTACAAGAGACTCTACACCCTTAACTCCCTTCCCTTTGCTACTCTACTTGTACTAGAGTGGATGTATAACGGAAACTATATAATACATATACATATATAAAAGGGGTGAGAAGCGTTTATCACTACCTCAAGTAATGCAAGATTTCATTTAGTATGTGGACGAATAGAACGAACAGAACGTAGACCTGAGGTATGTATATAATCCACCCTCTAAGTAATTACCCAGCTACTCGCGGAGACCATTATGCTTTATGGCTCATTAAATTATGCCATGATTTTATGACACCTTACAAACCACTTGTAACTTTACCATTAGTTTTATCGTGCTTATACTCATTAATAATTGAAAAAAAAAAAAAGTTGAAAAAATCGATGAGTGCATGGTTTGTAATGATCATTGAATTTTTAAATTAATAAAAAATGTAAATAAAGTTATATTATTAATTGATAAAGTAGAAAAAAAAAGAAATTTATTTTTGTTAATCGCTGAAAAAAATGCTTCGTATTATGAATTGTGCAAAATGAATTTCAATAACGGATTAAGTTTTCTAAATTTACTGCAAAAAAAAGTGTGTTCTCATAAACAGGAAAAACTTATTGACAATTTTGTATAAAAGTGTATTACAGCTGGGTTACAGAGATCTTGCGATTTCATTTGTAGTCGACGGATCCTGGATTCAGAGCAAGAATAAAGGCGGATACAGCAGCACATAAATTGTAGGATTTTGTTTGTTTAGGGGATTAAACTCTACTGTTTACATAAACTTATAAGTAATACTCTATTTATTTAGGGTTCGTTGTTTCCGCTAATGAATTTTCAGAAATTTTGAGACTCAAGGAAGTTATTTTCAGGGTCATAAATTAGATCTTCAATTATTTATACTGTAAAAGTCATTCTCAGACCTTTCATTTTGTTGCTATATTTAAGATATATATTGGTCTATTTTTCTAACGTAAAATTAGGCCTTGAATTATTTTATGACATAAAAAAATCTCCTCTAAAATTAAGGTAGTTGGGCCCAAAAAGCGAAAATTCAAGAAATCTCCCAAACTCCGTATACACAGAGAAAAAAGTCATCTTGAGTCAAGTAATATTTACTTGATCCAAGTATATTCAACTGAAGATAAAATATATTCTTGAGTTATGTAAATTTTTTTCTTGTTTTGGTCAATCTTGGTTTAAGCAAATATTCTCTAGTTCCAACAGGCTTACCAACTTAAGTGAAGAAAAAAACCTCTTAATCCAAGTAAATCATTCTCTTGGTTTTTGAACTTGCTTGATGTACACACGGGCGCATCGAGGCCTGAGTAGGACAGCAGCCGCGCGGAAACCCATTTTCAACATTAAATAAAAATTATTGTTTATGGAGCTAGAGTTCCGGGAGTCGAGACTTTTTTTCAGAAATTTCCTCCTCTTTAAGGATCTTTTTTCTGATTGTCGATATCACTTATAGTTATTGAGTTATTAACGCAACAAATTGCTAACCGTGTACTTTGTATGAGTGGAGCAAATACTTGTATATACAAATATTTTCGTCACTACACACTTAACTGTAAATCAGTAATATAATGGGAAATCAGCAAATTAAAAATTAATCAAAAATGTCTAATTAAATGAACACAAAAAATAAAAATCATGCATAAGGTTATTATTTTTAACTTCCCGCTAAAAATCTCAGATTTTCAAAAATCGGGAAGTTATTGTTTTTACCCCATTTTACAAAAATCGAGTTTTCATCAGATCTCGACGTTTTAAGGTCATAGGAAGCTTCCCTGACTACCCCCGCGATGGTGTCTGTATGTGTGTCTGTATGTATGTATGTATGTGTGTGT